TAACAAAAAAAAAAAGTGGATGGAATAGAGCCAAAGAAAGGGAAGAAGAGCGATGCTTACGTATGTGTATGAGGGGAGGGGGGGGGGGGGTAGAGACGCACTCAGCACGTGGCAGCAACTAACCGCATGCTAGTTAGCGTATAACAATTGCTGCTGTAACGACCATTCTCTCATTTATTAAAATTCCTCAGCGTTGGGTCGCGTCGCTAGGAAGAAGCCATATTGATTGCCTACTTTTTTGTTTTGTTTTGTTTTTCTGGTTTATGCTTATGAGGAAAGAGTCATCGGATTTTTTTTTAATACTTTTTTTGACGTATAGAATGTCTCTTTTGAAATGCGTGCACATACAGACACACACATTCGCTCAATACATACATACATACATACATACATATATATATATACATATATATATATATATATATATATATATATATATATATATATATATATATATACATATAAATATATATACATGTACATATGTGTGTGTGCTTGTGTATGTTTCTATGAAAATATGCGTGTATATACAGTACGTATGATTGCATGTATGCATGTGTACGCATATGAAAAGTAGAAATAGATAAAAAAAGCCTATCTTCAATAAAAGCGGAGTTTCTTTGATGTTTATTTGTATGCATGAGCTATGCAGTGGCAAATAAACTTACAGCATAAAACGGGCTTGGGTTTAGGGCCTGAATACCTCAGGGGACCGGCAAGAGTTCGTGTTTGTATAGAATAGAAGAATAAAACAAAAGTATTTATTTCGGAAACCATGATATATATGAGAAGTAAGGTATATATTTTTTATGTTTTTGTCCCATAAAGCAAAATTTAGTTATACCATATCCGTTATAAATGTCTAAGGAAATGCAAAATAATAATCGCGACAAACAATAATTTATCCTAGTTATACTTTTTATAAGGAATATTACAACTCAAAATAGATGTGTCTTTTTATAGCACATTAATTAAAGGACACAGCTATATATGCTAAGCCTAGAGCAACTCTGCTGTGCGCTGTTGAACACCATTTACCCAGAGAAAATCAAAATAGATGTGTCTTTTTATAGCACATTAATTAAAGGACACAGCTATATATGCTAAGCCTAGAGCCACTGTACATACCAAGGTTTATGTAGATATCGTATGACGAAAAGACTAAGTTACCCCTAAATATGCGGGCTGTAGAATACACGTTTTCTACATCATATAGCCAATGCACCAGTAGAACATTTTCTTTTATAGCGTAGAATATTTTTAAGAGTAACTATACTAGATTTTTTTATTACTTATCTGCTGATGATGTTATAGCGTAGAATATTTTTAAGAGTAACTATACTAGATTTTTTAATCTTTATATCTTTTTTACTACTGCTCTTATGTTATATTACACATTCTTTTTGCTGTCATGTTATATTATGTTAAAGGTTGTTATTATGATGCAAGACTTATTAACATAATAGAGCAAAATGTGCCACAAAATGTTTATTTCACTATGTTATGAAATATTAAATTTGACATGCAGATAACTATTATCTTTTCAACGAACAAAGAGTAAGAAAAGAATATATATGTATATACGAATAGAAGACAGACATATAAACAGAAGACAGAGAGAGAAGAGGGAAAGAGGGATTGATGGAGAACGAGAATGGAAAGAGGGAACAGGGAGAAATAAAGGAAAGATGGAGTGAGAGAGAGAGAGAGGAGGGAAAGAGGCAGTGGGAAAGAGAAAGGAAAACAAAAGTGGGGTAGAGAGATAGGAAAGGGGTTGGAAAGAGGTAGAAGGGAAAAAGAGAGTGGGGAAATGGAGTATGAGCAAGACAGAAGAAAAACGAAAGTAGGAGAGAGAAAAAAACAGAAAACGAAAGAGCAGGAGAGAGAACCAAAGAAGTGAGGTGGAGGAAAGGGAGGAGGAGGGGGGAGGAGGAGGAGAGGGGGGGGAAGAGGGGCTATCGCAATAGTTCCGATATCTGTCAGTTGACCCTCGTGTTCTGCCGCAGGAGGAGCCGGTCTCGAAAAGGACGCCGCCCTCAGGACCCAAGTTGGGCGCCGGAGGGAAGTCACCTAACCTGAACGTCGGACGCGTCCAAACAGCTATCTATTTCTCTCCCTTCCTCCCTTCCACCCTTCTTTCTTCACCTCTCCTCGCCTCCTATCTCCCTTTCTTTCATCTCTCCTTTCTCCCTTTCATAACTCGTTTTCATAACTCCCGCCATTTTTTTCGAAGACGAAGCCGGAGTCACTCGATACCGAACGACGTGGGTGGCTTGTCCGTGATTATGCTAATGATTATTGTTATCTTACTAATGAGATTTTTGAAGTAATTTGATCATTTGTCTTGATGCCGAGTGTTATTTTCCATTTAAGAAAAGTTAATGTCATATATAGTGTGTTTTTCTTCTGTTATTTGTGTATTGCTGAGACTTACGAAGCCATCGCCAAGAGCCATTATGACAGAAAACGGAGACATTTTCGCCGGATAATAACTGTGATATAATAATGACCATTATCTTATTATCTGAGTTATCACGACCTCAGTGGCAACATGAAATGAAAAAAAAATAAATTGCCAACTATGAAAAAATAATAAGCAACACGAAACTGTTCTTCTAGACTAACATTAAGCAAATTGTGCAAAAAAATATGTTTCGGAGACTTCAACGCTGACGTAAGTAATGCAGAACCGGGCGTGCAGTTCCCGTAGACTTTCTCAAGCCTTCAAGTCATGCACCTCATGTTTTTTTTTTTGTTTTTTTTTTGCGGTCTGACAGCGAACAAGGTCTCGCTACGTAATAGTCATGAATGAAACCCATCATTAATAACTTTATCATAGAAAACCGATACCTCATGATTAATAAAATACCCTGAAAAAATACGCACTTATGATACTCATAACTCCACTGAAATATGCGCATTACTCATAACTCCACTGAAATATACGCATTACTCATAACTCCACTGATATATACGCATTACTTATACCTCCTCTATTCCTACCATTAACAAAATCCGAATTTATACCGCAACTACCCCCTAAGGACATAATTATGCACAAACTACCTGTTAACAATGGCCTTACGACCCCTTAGGCTGAGTAATGCATTATGGGAGTTTATTATGACGTCATTCGAAGACCAACCACAACCGTAGAGAATATAATAAGGTTATTAGGGTATTCATTTACCACTATTACTTTCATCTGGTATTTGGATGGTGCGGTGGTTTCAGATCTGCGGGATGCCAAGGTCGTTTCGACTCTCTCTGTCTCTTTCTCTTTTTCTCGCTTTCGATCTTTCTCTTTCTCTTTTTCTCGCTTTCTCTTTCTTTCTCTCTCTCTCTTTTTCTCGCTTTCTCTTTCTTTCTCCCTCCCCCTCTCTCTCTCTCTCTCTCTCTCTCTCTCTCTCTCTCTCTCTCTCTCTCTCTCTCTCTCTTTCACTCACTCTTTCATTTCTTTCTCTCTCTCTCTCTCTCTCTTTCACTCACTCTTTCATTTCTTTCTCTCTCTCTCGCTCTGTCTCTCACTCACTCTCTCTCTCTCGTTGTCTCTCTTTCACTGTCTCTCTCACACACGCATATTCTCTCTCTCTCTCTCTCGCTCTCGCTCTCTCGCTCTCTCGCTCTCTCGCTCTCTCGCTCTCTCTCTCTCTCTCTCTCTCTCTCTCTCCTCTCTCTCTCTCTCTCTCTCGCTCTCGCTCTCGCTCTCGCTCTCGCTCTCGCTCTCGCTCTCGCTCGCTCTCGCTCTCGCTTCTCGCTCTCGCTCTCGCTCTCGCTCTCGCTCTCGCTCTCGCTCTCGCTCTCTCTCTCTCTCTCTCTCTCTCTCGCTCTCGCTCTCTCTCTCTCTCTCTCTCTCTCTCTCTCTCTCTCTCTCTCTCTCTCTCTCTCTCTCTCGCTCTCCTCTCTCGCTCTCTCTCTCGCTCTCTCTCTCGCTCTCTCTCTCGCTCTCTCTCTCTCTCTCGCTCTCGCTCTCGCTCTCGCTCTCGCTCTCGCTCTCGCTCTCGCTCTCGCTCTCGCTCTCGCTCTCTCCGCTCTCGCTCTCGCTCTCTCTCTCTCTCTCTCTCTCTCTCTCTCTCTCTCTCTCTCGCTCTCGCTCTCGCTCTCGCTCTCGCTCTCTCTCTCTCTCTCTCGCTCTTTCTCTTTCAGTCTCTCTCTCATTTTATTGCTCTCTTCCATTTTCGCACAATAAAGCACAATATTCCCTTCCCTTTAATGACACAAACTCCATTACTAAACTTACCTGCTCTGACTGACAAAAGTGCTAACCCCTTTCGTTCATTAGGTCGAAAAACCCTATGAAAACGATAGGGAGAACGACCTTACGACTTAATACAGCAGTCCCCGAACTGGCGCGAAACTCCTGTATTTTTATGGACTTGGGTAACTACCTTTGGCAGTTAATTGGCTCATTAAGGTAATTAGACGGTGCTTCTCTTAATTACCTGTTGTTTTTTTTCTTTTGGTTTCCGTGACGGGTTCAAATCGAGAGACTCGGTTTATCAAAAAGAATCATCTAAGTTATTTGATTAAATGATAATTAGTGTATTTTTCATGCGTTAAACTGCTTGTTCGAGATAATTACAGAAATTAGCTTATTTGTGATTTTTTTTCTCTCGTTTACAACAATAGTTCTCTACAAATTCATTTATTTAATGCAACTAAATCATTACTTATTCAGATACTCACATGAATTGCAGACCGATTTATCTATTCACTCGCCGAGTTACTCATTATTTCACAAGATTAGTTAATAAAGTACTCATTTTTACTCATTAACTCAATACATCGCAGTTTTCATACATTTACACTCACACTTCCATGAATGAATTTTTACCTCATTCGCCAACATTCGTAAATAAACAAAACAAAAACATCAAAAATAACAACAGCAACACTTATTTCCATGAATGAATTTATACCTCATTCACCAACATTCGTAAATAAACAAAACAATCACAACAAAAACAATAACAACAACAACAACAGATTTTTTTACTTACTTTATCGTACTCCATGTTGAAGGCAGGGGGTCGGGGGGTGGGGATGGGAGGGAGGGGAGGGGGGGGGGGAGTCTCTCTTATCGCCACCCCATTATTTCTGGAAAAAAAAAATAACAATAATATCATTAGTTTGTGGTCTTTAATTTTTTTCGTTTGTTTGTTTGTTTGCTTTTTTTTTTCTTTATTTTGGTGATTTTAGTTTTCTTTTTGGTGTATTTTGCTTTATTTTGTTGTTTATGATGATGATGATGATGGTGATAATGATAGTGATGATGATCATAATGATGATGATGATGATGACGATGACGACGATAATGATGACGATGGTGATGGTGATGATGGTGAAGATGACAATAATGATGAGTAGAACGAGAAAGAGGTAGAAATAACGGAGAAGAGGAAGAGGAGGATAAAGATGATAAGAAACGCAACATCATCAACAATACCACAAACATAACAGACATAAAAAAAAACAAAAAAGAAAAAAAGATAAAAAAGACAAAAAAAGACAAAAAAATATTTACGAATCATACACATCAGAACAAGAATAAAACACATTACAAACGCAAAAAAAGAAAATAATAAATAGATAGAATTAAGAATAATAAATGAAATAAAAGAATTTTGAAAAATAAGAGAAAGAGAGAGAAAGAAAAAATAAATAGAATAAAGAAATGACAAATGAAATAAAAGAACTTAAGAAATAAAAAATTAAAGAAATAATAATAAAAAAATGATAAATGAAATAAAAAAAATAAAAAAGCGAAAAAAACAATGTTACCAACGTCCTTCAACATTTCCTCGCATGGCCTGCAGTGTTACCAACGGCCTCTGTCAGACCTGCAATTGTTTTCTCTTTTTAAATCCTAATTTTCAAAAATCCTATAAATCTCTCAACGTGAAATAAAATCCAGCGACTTGGTGAAAAAGATTAATTAAAGAGATAAATATTTTTATTTTTATTTTTCGTCTTCTTTCATTGGCATATTTTTCTTCATTATTTATCTCATTCTCATATTTTTATGAAATCTTTCGTTTTTTTAAAATTCTTTTCGTTTTTCTTTTCCGTCTTCTTTCATTGGCATATTTTTCTTCATTATTTATCTCATTCTCATATTCTTCTTGAATTTGATGATTACGCGAAAGTGAAATAAAATTCGGGACTAAGTAAAAGACGAGAGATAAAGAGAGATGGAGATATATTTTTATTTCCTCCCTATTTTCATTTTTCATTTATTCCCTTTATTCCCCTTCTCCTTTTTCTTCCTCTTCTTCTACGTCTTTTCCTTCTTCAATTTATATTCCGTCTCCTTTTTCTTACTATTCTCCTTCCCCTGTTTTCTTACTCTTCTCCTTCCCCTGTTTTCTTTCTCTTCTTCTCTTTTTTCTCCTTTTCCTTTTTTCCCTCTTCTTTTTCTTCTCCTTCTCCCTTTTTCTTCTTCTCTTATTCTCCTTCTCCCTTTTTCTTCTTCTCCTCCTTCTCTTTTTTCTTCCATTTCTTCTTCTCTTTATTCTCCTTCTTTTTTCTTCTTCATATTCTTCTTCTTTTTCTTCTCCTCCTCTTCTTCTTCCTTATCTAAATCGCTTACACATCAATTTCTTTCTTTCTTTTTATCATCAAAATCGCATATACATTATTATTATTTTTTTTTTTTTTTTTTTTTTTTTTTTTTTTTTTTTTTTTTTCATCAAAGTCGCTTTTCTATTATACACGAACAGAACAATATTTTTTATTCAGACAAAACAAACCTTAAGCGGATAAACTACATTCTCAAACGTGTATCATTGAAATCTTTATTAAAAAAAATCTTAATATTCATTACGGTTTAGAAGAAAAACGAGAAAAGAAAAAAATATTCAACACGGTTTTAAGAAAAAAAAAAAAAAAATGAATAAAAGAAAAAGAAAAAGATAATATTTTATACGGTTTTAGAAGGAAACAAAAAGAAAAAGAAAAAAAAGAGGAAAATAATATTCATTACGGTTTTTAGAAAAGAAAGAAAAAATATTCCATACGGTTTTAGAAAAAAAGAAAGAAAGAAAAAAGAAAAAAATATTCCATACGGTTTTAGAAGAAAAAGAAAGAAGAAAAAAAGAAAAAAATATTCCATACGGTTTTAGAAGAAAAAAGAAAGAAGAAAAAAGAAAAAAAATATTCCATACGGTTTTAGAAGAAAAAGAAAGAAGAAAAAAAGAAAAAAATATTCCATACGGTTTTAGAAGAAAAAGAAAGAAGAAAAAAAAAGAAAAAAATATTCCATACGGTTTTAGAAGAAAAGAAATAAAAAAATAAAAAAATATTCCATACGGTTTTAGAAGAAAAAAATTGAAAAGATCCTCTAATGCTCTTTCGAAAGGTAAGTAAAAAAAAAAAAAAAAATAAAAATAAATAAATAAATAAATAAATAAAAATAATAAGTAAGTAAATAAAAAAAACCTAAATGTACAGGACTGAAGTTAAAGTCAAACATTTGGAATAGAAGTCACGTGTTAAGTCCACAATATTCGTGTTCACTTTCAATATGCGATGTGATTTTAAGAGAAAAAATAAAAATATTCAAGTGATCTTTTGGAAAAAAATAAGCATAATATGTCCGCATTCCGAGGTGTATAGCATTGAAAGTAAGCAAAAGGAAAATTAGAAAAAAAAAATATATAATGATAACATTTATTCATATTTGGAGAAAAAATTTAAAATCCTCAAGTGATTTTTTGGAAAAATAAGTATAATATACCCGCATTCCGAGGTGTATAGCATTGAAAGTAAGCAAAAGGAAAATTAGAAAAAAAAATATAATGATAACATTTATTCATATTTGGAGAAAAAATTAAAATCTTCAAGTGATTTGGAAAAATGAGTATAATATACCCGCATTCCGAACTGTATAGCATTGAAAGTAAGCAAAAGGAAAACTAAAATAATAATAATAATAATTATAACATTCATTCATATCTGAAAATAAGGAAAAGGGAAATTAGAAGAAAAAAAATAATTATAACATTCATTCATATCTGAGAACAATTTTTTTTTCTTCCGTTGTCCACCTTGACTTATCAGGTGCGTGTACGTGCGCGTCCGGCTAATGACCTTCAGGTAAATTAGCCGGCAATTACAGGTGAAACAACTTGCAGCCAGAGGGAATGTTTGCACAACGCTGATTTTGTGTGTATAGAGACTTTCACTCGTCCCCCCTTGATGCAATGGGCGTGAATGGTTTTGAAACGGCATTAAAAAACACGTCGAAATGACACACCGTCTTGTTGTTGGTGGCTCAGCTGGGTTCTCAAGGTAAGGAGTGGAGATGGAGATCGTGGACTGTGGGAAGACACGTGCGAGGTGTTACAGTTGTTGTGGTCTGCGGTGGAATTTGGAAAAGTGTGTGCGCTTGTCCATAAGACACGTGTATGAAGATATAAACACGCACACACACACGCGCGCGTTGTCGTACATATATGGCAGTCACACTCACACACACAAACACACACACACGCACGGGTCAGACAGACACATCACATCACACACACACATACACATACACATACACATACACACACACACACACACACACACACACACACACACACACACACACAAACATCACACACACAAAAACAAACATCACACACACACAAACAAACACACACACACACACAACACAACACACACACAAACACACACACACACAACATCAACACACACAAACATACACAACACACACATCACAAACAAACATCACACACAAACAAACATCACACACACACAAACAAACATCACACACACACAAACACACAGAAACATCACACACACACACACACACAGAAACACACACACACACAAACAAACATCACACTCTATCAACATTTATTTGATTATAAGATCGGCCTTTGTGGTTTTTTTCTCTCTTTGGTAAATCAACCATAAACCAGCGGGAACAATAAAGAAAAAACAAAACAAAAAAAACACATACTATTATATATAATGATTATCACGTACCAACAATGGAATTTTGTGGTTAAGTCGCATTTTTTGGCGGAATCGTTTTAAGACTTAAAGCTGAAATTTAGGTTAGAGAGAGAGAGAGAGAGAGAGAGAGAGAGAGAGAGAGAGAGAGAGAGAGAGAGAGAGAGAGAGAGAGAGAGAGAGAGAGAGAGAAAATAGAATGATAAAAATTAAACAAAGAAATTTAAAAGGAGAAACAGATACCTTAAAAAATAAATTTTAGAAAAAAAAATAAAAATGAGAAATAGATACGTAAAAAAAAGAGAAATAAATACGTAAAAAATAAAATTATAGAAAAAAGGGAGAAATAGATACCTTAAAAAATAAAATTATAGAAAATAAAACAAAAAATCTAAAAAAAAGAGGAAAAGATAGATACAATACCTAAACAAATTCTGATATACGAAATAGATACCTTAAAAATATTGAAAATAAACAAAAAATATAAAAAAAGGAAAAAAATAGATGCAATACCTTTTGATATACGAATGATAAAAACTAACAATGGGAGATAAAGCATAAACAGAGACAGGTCAATAACCCAGATCTCGCGGCAATATAGTGACAAGAATAACTGAACAAAACTGGAATCCAACACGAACAATAACTTTGGAATAAAAAGAAAGAAAGAAAGAAAGAAAAAAAAAATGTTCAACAAGAACATTGAGATTTTAGGAACTTGGCGGAACGTGTTATTAGAGAACATACAACTTTGGAATATTCGAAATGATCTAATTAGAACATTTATAACAAATAGATTTAAAGGAATGCTATAGGAATGGTGAATTAAATGATAAACTATGATTTTTTTTAATGTCTTTGTAACCAATTGTATCTTTCTCTGTTTGTTTCTCTTTTTCGTTATTTTCTTTCTCCTTCTCATTCTCGTCATCATCACAGTCCTCCTCCTCCTCCTCATCATCATCATCATTAACATTATCATTATCATTAACATTATTAATATTATTATCATTAACATTATTATTGTCATTATTATTATTATTATCAATATTATTATTATTATATTATTATTATCAATAT